TATGTCTATTTATACAACTCTATCCTACAGTGTACATGCTGCAACAGTAACTAGATAACACATATGGGGCTGGCTTCTGCGCCGCCTCTCGCGACGTGGCTACAAGTGTCAGAGGTGAACTGCTCAGCCGCACTGCAGAGCGGCTGATGAGATCACAGCAGAGAGCCTTTTCGGCGCCGCCTTTCCCTTGCTGTGTATTCATACGATACGAGGATAGTTTATTCTAATAAATATTTTGAATGCAAGCATCAATATCTGCTGTCAGATAGTTTGTGCTTGTTCCTCCATGCCTCTTGTGGTCTTGTTCCTCCATTTCATCGTCTTCTCCCTCCCTCCTCCGGTACAACTCACTTTCAAGTTGCTGCCACAGCTCCACATCAGTCATCATGTCCTCATCATGGTGATTGACAATGTCATTATCACTATCTACCAAGCCAACATCATCGACCGCCACAGCAATGGAACTCTGAACCTCTTCTGAATTCTGATACGTACAGCTTCTGATGTAACTGTCTCTGAGGTTTCCACGGTGGTTTCAGTCAACAGCGAATTGGATTCAGATCCACCGCTTGTAGATGTTCTTATTTCCTCTATGTGACAGTTGAGGTAGATGAAACATTATTTCGCCGTCGGGATTACGATCTCGATCTGTTGCATATGTACACTTCTTTATGCATTCACTTCAAAAGAATTTACAGAAGCACGAAGAATAGAAAAACATAGATGTTTCTACCTATCCTAATCCTATATGCATCCACTTCAAAAAAATCTTGATTAATGAGCAGACCTGAGTTCGATAATCATCAACCAAGTAGTAGATGGCTTCAGATTTGATCAAAAGCAAACATCCACAGAAGAAGAGAGACAGGAAACAAACTCACCTCTCTTCCCACCCGCCGCCGCCCAGTTCGTTATCGCGAAGGAGCCCAGCTCGTCGTGCAATCTGGGGCGTATAAGGCCACTGGAGCCCGTCCGCTGTGTGCGCGTATACGGCCATTGGCCGCACCGCCCGCTGTCTCCGCACGCACACCCGGCAGCTGGTCGCGCTCCCCGTCAACCGTGCGCCACCTTCGCCTTGGATTGGAGAGCGCCGCCGCCGAGCGACCGACTTGATCCGAGCGCCGTGTGCGCCTGTGCCTGTGCGGTGTGCCCAGCCCCAGCGCCATGGCCTGCCTGTACAGGATGGGGCGGTCTGACATGCTTTCCGCAGCGGCACAGATGCTGGCCGGCATCGCCGGGACACGCCCACCTCCTTCTCCACGAACAGGGACGCAGACGGTGGATGAAGGCTGTGCCGGTGGATGGCGGGGTTAGGATCTGGGGTTTGTGAATGGCGATGGTGGAGTTTGCGATCTCTGACTGAACGGTTGCGCGGCCACGAGAAGGAGTGCGTCGGGGTCGTGGAAGTGGAGCGGTTTTTTTCTTCCGCGCGGAAGGTTTTCGTCGGACGGACAAAGGGGTGTGGCTGTCGCTTATTAGCGCAGGGCGCGGGGATTAGCGCGGGGGCGGGGGTAATTAGCGGGGCGAAAACGATGACTTCCGATTCTTTTTAGTCGTATAAGAGATTAAATAGACCACTGGCCCACATCGGCCTAGGGCACATAGTGTGGATGTTTTTTGTTTCTTTCTCTTTTTTTCCTCGACTAGCAAACATGTCCATATGCAGAAGATACAACTTGTTGCGTAGTTTATCTAGATGATTTGCAGCTTAAAATTTATCAAACAAACACGTGGTGCTCTAACTCATATATACGAGCACAAGATGTTTTGATATTTATCAAATGATCATTTGTGTATTTCAATTTGTCTTGAAATCGGACTCTGAATAGTATTTGAGATTGCAAACGTGTCAAGAACAACTGCGAAAAAATGAGATTACCTCATATGTTTAAATTCGTCCTTGAATCAAACTCTATAGTGTGCCTATATTTATGTGGTTCGGTTCCTTTTTTGTTCGATAATGCTTCGATGAGGACGTCCGCTTAGGGCGTGTCAGTCCAAACGCCCCTGCCCTTAGGCTCGCGATCGATTGGGCCCAACAGCAACGATCGTTCTTTCACTCTCGAATATTTTCTCACTCACGACCGCTACCACTTTCAACGTGTCGTCCGCCAGAACCGCCGCGTCGACTGCGCATCCGCCCGCAATAGTCGCGATGCGCCTTCTGCCCGCATGCTCTACCTCTCCGCCGCGCCCCATTCCGTGCTGCACCTGCCCCAATCTCGTGTTGCGCCGCGCCCCATCCTGCGCCGTGCGGGGCGTCAACCGCCGTGACCCATCCACCTCGTTGGGCGTGGCCATGGCATGCAAAGCGCCACCACCACCCCGACGCCAACAGGAAGTCGTCGGCCATTGCTCTCGACGTCCCCTTAAACCCGAGTTTGCTGGCTACCATAGTCCCCCACCAGGTAGACCATGGCCGTCGGCGACGCCGTGTTTCAAGTGTTTCAGGCGTTTCAGACTTCTGTTTCAACTTTCAAGTGTCATATGGATGTTGCAAAAGTAGATATAGAATGTTTTATATGTTGCAATGATAATATACGCATGTTTCAAGCCTATGTTCAAAGTATTTCAGTTGTTTCGGACACATGTTTCAAGTGTTTTCATCTGGATGTTGCATATATTACTATGGCTGCATACGCATGTTTCAAGTGTTTGTTTTCATGTGTTTCAGATGTTTCAAACTTGTTGCAAAAGTGGATCTGGATGTCCCATATGTTGCTATGGCTATACAAGCATGTTTCAAGAACATGTTTCAACTATTTCGGTTATATGTTGCAAATGTTTCATCTTTATGTTTTAAAAGTAGATCAGGTGTTGCACATGTTGTAATGCGCGCTGGTGGCTGGCAGACAACGGTCGGGCGTAGCCACCTGGTGCTGCTACCGAGGCGCCGTCATGGTTCACGTGCGAACGTGGGGCCGTGGTTCTAGACGCCAGCGCGTGATACGAGCAGGCGGGGAGGGGGGGGGGATGTGATGCGGGTGGGCATTAGGTGTAGGCGCGGAGCTCCATCTGGACGGACGCTGCCTCCGGAGCGGGATTTGGCGTGGGGCGAAGGGAGTTCCGTGCGTCGGGCGCAGGTGTGGGAGCCGCGTCCAGACGGATGCTGCGTTCCGAACGTTGCGTCGGGCGTAGGTGTGGGAGCCGCGTCCAGACGGACGCCGCGTTTCGGACGTCCGGGCGCTAGTCGTCCCGTAACTCAATTAGGTATCTTGAACTTGGTTCCTGTGCGTTTCGCCCGACAGCAAAACTTGGTCCGTCCCTTGAGAAACCTAACTAGTCTGAGTTTGCATCGTGTACATGTTACTGATGATGAGTTAGAGTGTTTTCTTTCCAACTCTCTTGCCTCGGAGAAGTCGCACCTCAGTATTTGTGGGGAGATAATTTGCCTGAAGATACCTTGTGTGCTACAGAAATTCAGCATCTTGAGGGTTTTCGGATGCTGGAGGCTGCGAGTGATAGAGAGCAAAGCTACAAAATCTCTCTTGTTTACACATCCATGGAAATGTAAAACTCTCACTTGCAGACACATTGCAAATCAAGAGATTAAGTGTAGAATTGAATCCAAAGGCTCTCTGTTATGCTCGTTCTGAACTGCCGTCCATTATGCCAAATCTTGAGATTCTCTATATAAGCTCCAGCTATGAGGTACCTCTCTAAAACATACGGCGTTTTATGCAATATTACAAGAGCAGTCATATATGCATATTACGGTTGACATGAGTCATACTCTGTGTATGATTAATCTGAGATTTGACATATGTTGTGCAGGTTGTCAACACACCAATGCTGCCTACCAAATTCCTCTACCTCAAACACCTGGCCATTGATATTACATCAGGAGCTTCCTTTTCCCCGTCCTACGATTATTTTTCTCTAGTTTCTTTCCTTGAGGCGTCTCCCTCCTTGGAATCATTGATCTTGGATGTAAGGCACCATTCCTTCATTCCATCCTGCAAAGTTGTATCTGTCTAACCACTCTCTTTTGATACACTGACTCGATTTATTTATTTTTAAATCATTAGGTATCCCAGGACATATGCAGCATAAATCGGTTTTTGGAGATTCCTCAGGTTTGAGGGAGATGCCGGAACACCGCCATTGCTACCTCAAGAGTGTGAAGATGGTAGGCTTCAGCTCTGCGAAGAGCTTGGTTGAGCTAACATATGCTACATTCTCAAGAACGCAGTGTCGCTTGACTGTCTCACATTGGACACCCTCGATGGTTTTAGGTGTTTTATAAATTCTAGAAAATGCTACACCAGGAGCAGGAGTGTTCTCATGGAAGCCCATAGAGCACTCAAGGCAATTAGAAGTTACGTTGAGGTTAAAGTTCCCGCTACAGTTAAGTTCACTGTTGTGGAGCCATGCAGCCGGTGCCATGCCGTAGGAGAGGATGATAGGCGTCGAAGATGGTGATGGCTGCTGCCATGGTGTGCCTGATTGATTGTGCATGCGATGGATGATGTTGCAATAGTGTTGCAGATTGCTGCGTACCATCATGGTTTCATGTTGAGTGAGTTTCTGGACAACAACTCAACAAGGAGTTAAGCGAGGTGCAATCTCGGAATAAGGTTGTGTAGTACAAAGTTGTAACTTGTAACTTGTGCAATATCAAAATATTAAAAAAAAAATTGATTACAAAAGGGTTTTAAAATGACAAAAGAAAAATTGAAATCGTCACAAAGAGGCAGCGAATCAAAAAATGGTTTTAAAATGACAAAAGAAAAATTGAAATCGTCACAAAGAAGGCAGCAGTCGCTGCCCGCTATAGTACATGGAGGCCCGTGTATTTTCCAGTTGGGCTGAGCCCATGTAGGTGGACCATTCCATCCCGGTCCATCCGGGCCCACTTGTCATCTGACTGAGTGGCGTCTTCCTTCCTCCTCCCTTCTTCCCCCAGACCAACCCACCGCAGCAAAGGGCAACAACACCACACCACACCACCCTCCTCGCCGTCGAAACGAATCCAAGTGACCAGCGAACCGGCGGCGGCGATGGGGATCGGGGAGCACTTCGAGGGCGTGAAGCAGCACTGGGCGAGCAACTTGGCCTTCCTCGACTACTTCAAGAAGGTCTACGGCCGCGCCGAGCCCCTCCCCAAGTGGTCCGACGCCGACGTCAACGAGTTCATCGCCTCCGACCCGGTCTACGGGCCCCAGGTCGGCGCTCCGATCCTCTCCCCTCCCCTCCTCTCCCCCTTCCTCTTCGCCTCGCCTCTCCTCTGACCACAGATGCGGTTTCCGCAGCTCAAGGCCCTGCGGGAGTCGAGGAAGTTCGCGCTCGCCGGGGCCTTCGTCGGTGCCGCCCACCTCGGCGGCGTCGCGCCTGTTCTCTCAAGGCGCCGCACGGTATGACGGACGGGGTCTTTGCGGCTATGTGTGGCTGCCAGGTTTTCCAGATCGGTTGTGACATCGGTTTGGTTTTGTTGCTGTTTCTGATCGGCGGCATTTGTGGGTGGTTGGCTGTGATTGACTGCAGGCGTCCTGCTGGCGACCGGGTTCGGGGCGATCACCGGCGCCGTGCTGGGATCCGAGGTGGCGGAGCACTGGTACCAGTTATACAAGATGGACAAGCAGGGGGCCAACCTTAGGTTCATCTACTGGTGGGAGGACAAGGTCTCAGGTCTGTTCTGTCCCCCTTGTGCCATCTTGTCCTCTCTTTCCTCATATGATGATCCAGTTCCTGTTTAGTATACGTGGTTAATTCTCTAGAGGATGTTTAGTATACGTGATTAATTCTCTAGAGGATGCAATGTCCTAGTTGCAATTGTGGCCTGCATGTTGCCGGAGTCGATTACAATGTCGAAATAGTGGATGTGCTTGTGTCAGTTTCAGCGCGAGTAACACACAGCTAATCTTACCTGACCAACTGTGTGATATACTATGTGTTAAGCTACTTTGCAATCTTCCATAGGTTTTTGTGCAAGTTACAGATTGTACGTGGTAATGCCCAGTTTCATCCATGTACCCTTTTCCCGACCAAGTCAATGATTACTTTCTGGAAACACTTGCAACTCATTTTACAGAATGTTTTTTTTTTCTGAGACCTACAAATTGTAGATTAGTATAATATTTAAAACTGCTTTATGTTCAGTCAGAATTTATGCATCTGAAAACACTATTTAGTCTTTACAGCTCACATATCTACTACCACTGTTGTAAGTGGTTGGAACAGAACCCGTTTCTGTGTCTGAGACCGAAAGCTGCACCTAACTCAGAAGTACCCCTGGTGATGACTGATCAATCTTAGAGGGATTCTTGAGCTAGCTCGGGGGTGTTTGGTTTCCTGGACTAAATTTTAGTCCATATCACATCGGACGTTCGGATGCTATTTAGGAGAACTAAATATGAGTTAATTATAAAACTAATTACATAGATGGAGGCTAATTTACGAGACGAATTTATTAAGCTTAATTAATCCTCCATTAGCACATATTTACTGTAGCACAACATTGTCAAATCATGGACTAATTAGGCTTAAAAAATTCGTCTCGCAAATTAGCCACAATCTGTGCAATTAGTTATTTTTTTCGTCTATATTTAATACTTCATGCATATGTCCAAACATCCGATGGGACAGGGACTAAAATTTTCCTGTAGGAACCAAACACCCCCTCATTAAACTCAAACAATTAAGGCACAGATTCATCTACGTCTGATTAACCCAGCTACTACTAACAGATGCCTTTCTAGAAATACTTGTCATTTAACCTTTTGTGCAAACTGTACATTAATATAACATATAGTGCTGCTTTTTGTGGGTTTTCTTTATATGTCAGGTTGAATTTTAGACTAGGAGGAAACAGTTTTAGATAAATTTCTTGGAACTGACTTTCTAGAAACACCTCTTTAACCCAGCTAAATGTAATTATTACTTCCTGGAAATACTTGCCACGAATTTTAGATAAATTTCTTGATTTTTTTTCTGAAACCCACAAACGGTAGCCGGTAGGTTAGTAATATTTAGAACTGCATCATGTTCATTTCAGAATCTATACGTCTGAAAGTACTCTTTAGTCTTCAAACCTCAGATTCACAACCACCGTAACCCATTTTCTGTGTATATCAGTATATCTGAGACTGAAGATCCATCTACCTTTTATTAAGCCAGCTAAATACTAGCCAAGATGCCCTTCTAGAAACACTTGCCATTTAAATTTGTGTGCAAACTGTAGATTAGTACAACAAATGTAGTGCTATTTTATGTTGACTTTATCACTTTTTGTTTATGTCAGGATGTATCTTCAGACTAAGCATTTCTTTTTTGAGCAAGGCACTGACTTCCAGTCTTAGTTATGGCTTCCATGTTTTCGTGGGTTCACCCTCTAGTTTTCTTTGGTACCTGAGTCAGTCTTCTGGTGGAGAGAAAAATTTGTGTAGGGCCGTAGGGGAATGGGTATGCAAAATATGTCAGACACTAAGCAGGACTATCAAATGCCAAAGAATGCTTCTTGCAGCGCAAATTGTTGGATATACATATAGTACTAACAAGTTTGTGTTCAGTACATACACAATTCTCTTTGTACTAAAAGTTGACTTGTGAGTTGCGACTGATTATGTTTTTGATTCCCTTTCTAGTGAATTTATAGTATTAAAGTATAGGATGCAGTTGTGTAAGTTTCAGCATGATATTACTTGCCAGTACGCAAATGATTGAAGTCGAGCAACTGCATGGTTTGTGTTAGCTTTTTTAGGCCACCCTACATAATGATTCTGGTTTTTCCCATGTAATGACACGATAGTGGATTACAACTGCAAAAACTCTTCAAAGTACAGGATGGAGCAGTGTTAGCTTCAGCATGTTTATACTTATTAACACAATTGATTGCAGTAGGCTGTCTCCATAGCAGTGTTTCCTTTTGGTTTTACAAGATTGAAGATTCCTTCTTTGTTCTAATTCTTCTTTGTTTTCCTTCTGTGAAAACAGGCCAGAAGAGCTGAACCACATTGAATGATGCCTATTTTGAGCATACCAGCTTGACAAAACATTGATGTCTCTTGTGCTGAATTCTTAGTTTCTGTCTCCTAGTTTTCTCTAATAAGTGTGAATTGGCTAAGGAAACCAACTGGACAATGCATTTTCATCTCTGTCATGAGTGATGTTTATCCTTAGTACTTTACAATGTTCATGGTCGCTCTGGTGTAAACAGTAAATCCTATCCGTTTTCAAGATATGTTTTCTCAAACTACTATTTTTCTATCAGTGGTTGCCTACAGTGTGTTTTTTGTTTTTTCTGGTCTGAAGCTACTAGCCTACTATGTCCATTTCAGAAATGGCAGTTTCTTCTAGCCAAATGGTTGATTATGATTCATATCATTATCAGCGTTGTAGGAGGTAAACTGGAACGCCATGTTCTTTACATGTTTATGTTGCAAGGATTGTTGTATCTGTCCTTAACTACATGGATGTTGCCCTGTTTACTGGCCAAGTTTAGAATGTCCATTCCACCTCTGCTACAATTGTAGCTACTGTTGTATCAAGTTAGGTGTGAGAAGTAAAACGCTAGGGAAACGGAGAGCCTCCCCCTTTTCCTAGAAGTACTATAAGGATTCTCCTACATATCCAAGTATGCTCCACTCATTCTACGCCAAGCACCCAATCACGGGATCAGAATCACAATCTAGATCATAGCTTTCACGAAAGAAAAGGACAGGCAGCCGCTGCTAAACCAAGATCAAAAGATTGGAATGGGGTGCATGGAACTTAGATATGCTGATGACTCAGTACCTGATAGTGCAAGCATAGTTTCTAATGCCTATGGTTTTTCTTTATATGTGTCACTTTGCTCACCTTAATCTGTGTTAGCTGAAATCATGTGCCCACAATTTTCAATGGAAGCTATCATTGTGTGAAAGAGTGTCTTGTTCATGGAAACCATGTTTCCTCGTCTAAAATACATCCTAACATGAACATAAAGAAGAATATATATGTTATGCTAATCTGCAATTTGCAGTCAGGTAAGAATACATATGTTCTAGAAAGGAAAGGCATCTTTGTTTGGTGTTTAGCAGATTTAAGGAGATCTGGATGAATCTGGGTCTCAAGTTTTTTGTGTATTCGTGAGCCAACTTGGGAAGCATATAGTCTCCCTAGGATGAATCAGAGATCACCAAAGTCGGTTCTGAATTTGGTGCAGTTTTTAGCTTCAGGTACACAAGTTACTGTTAGACTATATTCTGGAAATTAATCCTACCCTACCAACTCTAACAGTTAATAGACAAGACCGTCTCTAGGAATTTGGGCCCCCAAAACGAACAAAATGCAAAATGAGGTCCGAAAATTTGAAAAAAGAAATCATGTCCAATATAACTAAAGAATACTTTAACTTTTACATGTGTTATTTCAATATATAAAGTTTAGTAATATATCAAATATTGATGCTAAAAAAATAGGTAGAACTAACCTCATGATTTACTGGAAAGCATCAACTATCTTGGAAATTTTAAGCTTATAAGATACCATGGTGTTAGGCACCTAGGACATAGAACTCTTTTCATAACTTAATTGAGCGGCAGAGCTACTGCCATTTTCTTAAAAAAAACTTATAAGATACTACTTGAAATAAACAAAAGAAGACCGGACCAAATTTGAATGAGCAACTATCTTATAAATCTTGGATGCGTGACTACAACTACATAGAGTCTTAACCTTTCTACCGCTTAGAAATTTATGAAACAATTATTGATAATTTTTTTATAGAAAAAGGAATATATTAATATCCTATCTTCTACATCGACCAATGCATATAGTTGTTCCTTATTACAACACAAGCACTGTGGTCCACACAATCTCAAACACAAAGTTTTGGTCCAAAATGAATAAAAGAAAGGTTTGCAAACTCAACATCTAAATAGCAATTCTATTACTAAATCTCCAACCGTACCTTGCAAACACCTCCATCACGGTTGTCTCAATATTCCTGCATTCCATCTTCATCATTTGGCGATCCTCCTCCCTCTGTAATAGAGACCAGGACCTGGTCCAGTAGGTCCCCTTGAAGATAACCTGCAAATAAGATGGTGCTGCGGCCTTGTCAAAAATTATATCATTCCGGGTTAACCATATCGTCCAACAAATTGCACTTGCACCCACAAGAATCTTAGATTTCAGTTTCCTATTTATCCCGTGTAACCAACTTGTAAATAAATTATGAACGCTAGTTGGAGGAATTAAACTAAAGAAAATATGAAGAGTTCGCCACATGAATTTAGCAAAATGACAATCAAAGAATAGATGTTGTATAGACTCGTCAGAAGAACAGAAACAACACTTTCTATCCCCTTGCCACTGCCGCCTTACTAAATTGTCTTTTGTTAAGACTACTCCCTTATACAAATACCACAAAAATACTTTGATTTTGAGAGGTAGTTTCAGTTTTCATATAAATGTGTTATATGGTATAGCTTCAACTCCTAATAAGGCTCTGTACATGAATTTGACTGGAAACAATCCATGCTGATGTAGCCCCCACACAAAACGATCCCTCTGGTTTGTTAACTGTGCATCTGCAACCATAGCAACTACATCGTGCCACGCTGGTAAATTAACACCTACCAGAGATCTCCTGAAAGCTACATTTAACGATGTCATAGACAACACCGTTCTTACAGATGTGCCTTTTCTCCTAACCATATTATATAATGCGGGAAAGAGAGATTTTAAAGGACATGGTCTTATCCGAGTCCTCCCA